ATGTTGTGTCATACGACACCCTATCCATCTGTGACGCGTTTGATGCATACTTAGACGGATTGGGACTCAACATCATAACCTACCTTTTCAGGTTTTTGACCCACATCTTAACCCATTGGATGATCTCGCACATATTGGCTCCTTGGCTAAGTAACTATCTTTCTGGCTCGTCTAGAATGGAGTGATTTATTTTATTTGCGGCTGCCCCTTCTAACATCCCCTCTACTCCATACCCAGTCCCCCCCCACCCCCCCTTTTTTTTTTTTTTCTGTCTCCTTATATTCCCCCCTACTACCTCACTTTGCATCTCCTTCTCTCTTTTAATCTCTCTGATTCCTCTTTCCCTCACACCATTTGTATGAGTTTATCAATCATATATCCCAACAAAATATAACTTGTAATCTCTCATACAGGTGTGACTAGATTCACGTAGATCACACTCTCCCAAAATGGACACACAAATTATAACACACTTATCAAGATGTAATATCTTTTCCCCGGCATTTCACATCCCATCAACATAAGGGCCTACAAGTAGATGGGAGGTAATTAATATACATATAATTTACCTATTGCACCTTTTGTATCTGATGGCTTGCTATACACTTTTGGATATAAAGTTATATCTTATTATGCCTTGCACTACAATTCAAGCCCATAGCCCGTCTGCGAAACGGGATGCTGCATATTGTGTCTGTGTTTGGACTGTAACCCATATTTGTATTCATATTGATCTGCCTTAACTCTTCCAATAAAAAATTCTTTTTGGAAAAAAAAAAAAAGGCTGGAACTCTGCTTTTAGTCATCCATACAGTAAACTTGGACCGGAGTTGTTCACCTTAAAATTGTCAAACAGACAAGGGTCACTTTTTACATCTGGAAGAAAAAAAATGAAACCTCTACGTATTAGAAAGGCTTCTTCACAGTAAGAGCTATAGAAATTTGGAGTAGATCCCTTCAAGAATTAGTTCTGGCCAGCTCAGTACATTGTTTAACTTGCCCGACCTATGGCAGAATTATGGCTGGGCAGGCCTCTCGTCCCTTCGGAAGGGTGTCATATGATGTCCTTCTGGCCACGCCCCTCATGCACACCCTCTGCGGCATGCAGTGCGGTGATACCAGCTGTGCTGTGTCCCCTGGACACTATGACCCTGATTTACTATTGTGCCTGGGCGCATATCCGTGGGCTAATGTCTAATTTTTACGAGTGACCATCTACTTTTACCCCGCTAAGAGATTTACTATTGAGCAGCGTCCATAAGTAGACGCCCAATCGAATTTACTAACGAGACACACACCAGGAATTAGACTCACAAAGCAGACTTGGTAAGAGGTATGTCTAACACCATGAAAAATCACTGCAGAGACATGTTCACTTTGAAATTTGCTTTGCCAAATATCAGGACTTCACTTTAAACAATATCTGCCATTTAAAAAAAAATTTAAATGTGTTTTGTTTTTAATAAGCAAATTGACACAGTGAAAAACTAGACGCTCGTGCAGCTTATTTGGCTGATATAAATGCGCATGTGCAGAACACATTTTAGACGTCCTCTGTGGGCGCTTGCTTTTTAGCCACTGCTCAATAGTAAATCTCAGTGTGGATTCCTCTGACAGCCGGCACTGGGTCGCGTCTACTGTGTTTAACAAACAGCACTAGGCATATCTTTATGTATTCTAATTTGATTTCCTTAGTTCTAGTGATTCTATTTTTGTTTCTTATCCTTTATAATTATTTCTGTAATGATTTTACTTATTTCGAAGGTCTAGATAATATTTATTTTGACAGCTGAATGTAAAAATAAAGGTCCGCAATAAAAAAAAAAAAAAAAACAGCGTGGGTTACCCCTCTCATCCATACCAAGCCCTTCAGGTCTGGTATGGATATTAAGGGGGAACGCCACGCTGAAAATTTAAAAAAAAAAAACAACGTGGGGACCCCCTCAATATCCATACCAGACCCTTATCCGAGCATGCAGCCTGGCAGGTCAGGAAAGGGGGGGGGACGAGCGAGTACCCCCCCCCTCCTGAACCATACCAGGCCACATGCCCTCAACATGGGGGGGTGCTTTGGGGCAGGCCCCCCCCCAAAGCACCTTGTCCCCATGTTGATGGGGACAAGGGCTCCTTCCCCACAACCCTGGCCGGTGGTTGTGGGGGTCTGCGGGCGGGGGGCTTATCAGAATCTGGAAGATCCCGCCCCCCCCCCTACGTGAATGAATCTGCGGTACATGGTCCCGCTACTCATTCACAAAAAAAACAAAGTGTGGTGTAAAAAAAAACACAGTAGAGGGTCTTTGACAAGTCCTTTATTAAAACAATGTCCCCCGAAGTAGATCCAACGTCAATCACGGCGGCGGCGATTCGAAAAAAATCAATGATGTTACATGGGGCGGGGTTTCTCGGATGATGTCCCCGGCTGGCCCCGCCCCTAACCTATTTAAGAACTGTCAGCGAGACTTTTTTCGGAAGGCTGGAAGCCTCCGACGGGACCGGAACTTTTTTTTTTTTCTTTTCGGATCGCCACCGCCGTGATTGATGTTGGATCTACTTCAGGGGACATTGTTTTAATAAAGGACTTGTCAAAGACCATGTACTGTGTTATTTTTACACCACACTTTGTTTTTTTGTGGATGAGTAGCGGGACCAGGTACCGCAGACTCATTCACTGAGGGGGGGGCTGAGATCTGGGGGGCCCCCTTGTTAAAGGGGGCTTCCAGATTCTGATAAGCCCCCCGCCCGCAGACCCCCACAACCACCGGTCAGGGTTGTGTGGAAGAGGCCCTTGTCCCCATCAACATGGGGACAAGGTGCTTTGGGGGGGTAGCCCCCCCCTGCCCCAAAGCACCCCCCCATGTTGAGGGCATATGGCCTGGTATGGTTCAGGAGGGGGGGGCGCTCGCTCGTGCCCCCCCTTTCCTGACCTGCCGGACTGCATGCTCAGATAAGGGTCTGGTATGGATATTGGGGGGTACTCCACGCTGTTTTTTTTTTTTTTTTTTTTTTTTTTTTAATTTAATTCACGGAAATAATTTAAAATTCAGCTGTCAGTGGGAAATCCCGATGACAGCTGAAACTTTCCTTCTGTCCCTGCAGAGAGCTCCGCTATTATATTTGACATTAAAAAGTATAGAGACTGCAACATTGTATCTATTTGTATCCATTTTGGATATAGATGTTTTTATTCGGATACATATAGATACAATGTTGCAACCTTTATACATTTTAATGACAAATATAATAGCGCAGCTCTCTGCAGGGACAGAAGTAATTACTTCGCTATTATATTTGCCGGCTGTAGACGGGGCAAAAATTGGACAATTTTTTTTACCGTTGGTGGTAACGTCGGCCCATTGAACAACCAATTTGTCGTGTGTGTGTGGTGTTTTTTTTTTTTTTTTCGTAAAACGGCCAGTTTTCGTCCCATCTATGGCCTGCATTTTTCTTTTTTCTTATTCTTTTCCTTCTTTTTCTTGCAGGTCATGGCTCATGCGCAGATTTTTTATCTGCAAAAAGATCAGCCAATTTGCCAATCATTGCCGCTAAAATCGACCGATTTTTATCCAAATTTACCAATTAAAAAAAGTGGCAAATTCCCAAAAAAATGGCTGACCAATTAACCCACTAATGGCCCGAAAATCAGCCATTTTTTTTTTTTTTTTACGGCTAATTTTAGACCCATCAAAAGCAGGCCATAGATGGGTCTAAAATTGGCCGATTTTTCTGCCGAAAAAAAATCGAACGATTTTCGGGCCGTTAGTGGGTTAATTGGTCGGCCGTTTTTTTGGGATTTTGGCACATTTTTTATCAGTAAATTTGAAAAAAAAAATGTCCAACTTTACTGATAAACAAAATGTGCCAAAATCCCGAAAAAAACGGCCAACCAATTATCCCACTAATGGAAGAGGCCCTTGTCCCCATTAACATGGGAACAAGGTGCTTTGGGGGGGAGATCCCTATGCCCCAAAGCACCCCCCCATGTTGAGGGCACGTGGCCTGGTATGGTTCAGGAGGGGGGGCGCTCGCTCGTTCCCCCCCCCCTTTCCTGACCTGCCGGGCTGTATGCTCAGATAAGGGTCTGGTATGGATTTTGGGGGGAACCCCAAGCTGTTTTTTATTTAATTTCGGTGTGGAGTTACCCCTTAATATCCATACCAGACCTGAAGGGCTTGGTGTGGATGGGAGGGGGGACCCCATGCCGTTTTTATTATGGTGCTGGTTTTTAAATGTAATTTTCCCTTTTTTTTTTTTTTTTCTTCACTATAGCTCAGAAATTCACCTGTCACTTCCCACAGCTAAAAGAGAGTTTTCTTGGAATTTATATACCTAAAGGAAACAATGTTTACTTTCAGTTTATTAAAAGATACAAAGTTTTCTGTAACTTCGGGGAAAGTGACTTCTAAGCTTGTTTACTATAGTGAAGAAAAAAAAAAGGCTGGCATTTGCATTTGAAAATCAGCGCCAACATACACTTTGTATTGCGAAAAAAATTAACAATTGTGTAAACCGAGGCATTATTTTCAATGGATTTTCATTCGTAAACCAAAAATTACGTTAACCGAGGCATTGGTAAACTGAGGTACGCCTATATTAGTATTGCAATCCTTTGTATTGGGATACATAGAACCAACATACATCTGAATTGGCAACATAGCACAACATTTGTGTCACATTTGAGATATCTGGCTAGTTACACTGACCTTGCCCAGGGACTTAGGATTGATTCACACCACAGAAATACAGGCAGGATTAGTGTTCAACAGCTCTGTAGATTAGTGGTTAGCACTACTGCCTCACAACGCTAGGGTTGTTGGTTTGAATCCCAACCACAGCAATGAATTTGCATGATCTCTGTGTGACTACCCTAACATACATGTGCTGGTGGCAGCATCTTTGCTTTCTGTTTAAATGATCCCTAGAATGTGAATTAGAATGAGGCCTTGTCTGTTCAAACACCTTTAACCCCCCTGGCGGTATTCCCGAGTGTAGCTCGGGGTAAAATGTCAGTGCCAAAAGCGGTAACCCCGAGCTACACTCGGGCTTACCATGCAGCGCTGCATAGGGAGTACCTGCAGAGCTTACCTTGTCCTTCGCTCCCGCGATGTGTCCCCTGCAGCATCCCCGACCATTTCCTCTGGCCGATGCCAGCTTCTGTGTTCCGGTCCCTGTGAAGTCGGGACGTACGGGCGACGGCGGGAAATTTGAAAATTTTAAAAAATGTCATTTTTTTTCAAAACAAATTTTTCATAGTAAAACAATGCTGTTTCAACCCATTTCACATACATATTGTCCCTAGTGCTTTGTCCGGCGCCCTTCCTTGCATTTTTTTCTGTTCTCCCTGCCTGGAAACTGAGAAACGTCCATGGCGTCCAAAAAGTGTCCCTTTAGGTCAAAAGCGGGTTTAGATCAGCTAGAGAACAGCGATAGTAAATCAGAACCACTTGCAGAATTGAGTGATAATGATTCGTGGGGGAAATTCATCATCAGACACTGAAAACGATTTTGCGACTTTGCTCAGCAATGTACGAACTTGGCGCTCTATTTCAAATTTCAGTGTTTTCGGTTTGATTATATTATTTAATGTTTTATTATTATAATATTATTTTTTATGATTATTTATTAAATTATAATTTATGATTTCGTGTTTCAAATTTTATCATGCCCGGGATGTTTACTAGACTCTTGTTTGGACAGATTTCAGTGAGTTATTCCTAAAAATTACAGGCCTACAATAAAAAAACTACATATTTCCATGCAAAATAATGGTACCGCTTTCAGCACCAAAAATCTGAAATAATCATACTGCTAGGGAGGTTAAAGTTGCACCTTATGTGAATGTCAAACGATGGGATGAGATAAGGGCCTGGAATAATTGATTGGACAATGCTGGTTTGCACTCCACCTCCTTTTGGGAAAGTTTGTCAAACCATGAGAAGAGTTAACGAGAGAAAGAAAAGGATTAAAAAATAAAATAAATGGCATGGAGTCCACCCCCCCAATCCATAACAGACCCTTATCTGAGCATGCAGATACCACATGCCTTCAAAGATTTATTTCCTTTGTTGAATTGCCTGCTTGGTTCACACTAGATGTGATTTAAAATTGTGCTTTTTGTTGGCAATTTCATCGTGTTTTCTGTAGATTTACCAATGAGTTATTGCGTTTTTCAATTGTGTTTTGCATTGCGATTTCTATTGTAGTCTATATGTGAAATCGCTACAAAATGCTGAAAAAGTTAGATGAGAACTACTTTTGAAATTGTGCTGCAGCAAGTCGCTTACGTTAAGACACTCATATCCACATTCATTAGATTGGATATCAGGTACAATTTCAATTCCCAAATCGCACCTGAAATCGTGCACCCTGGATGCGACTTGGCATGTGATTTGCATGGCATGCGACTTGCAAATCGTATGCCAAGTCGCACCCTATTGTCTGCTATTAAAGCAGTCACATGGGTGCGTTTCCGACACTGATTTCTAAAGTAGTACATGTACTACTTTTGTGACGATTTGCATAGATATCTGTGTCAGATGTCTTGCAAATCGTAAGGAAATCAGCATCTTCACTGTACGTCGCACAATTTCTAAATCGGCTTTGATGTGACCGCGGTGTAAGGCCTTTTTATGTTTGATTTCCTGAGTGTTTTTCCGATTTATGGAAATTGCCGCATACTAGCAAAAGTGAATTGACATTTTCAGTATTGCATGCGAGATGTGGTCATGTGACTGCCTTAACTCATGCGATAATCTGGAGTGAATTGTGCCCATAGGGCCAAGAAATATTGCCAATAGGGTTCCCTTTCACATCCCTGTTCAATGTTCTGTTGTATGCTGCACAGGTACACTTCACTGTGGCTTTCTTTCTGACTCTGATTTGTGGGGCCTGTATACCAAGGCCTAACGCAAGTGGGAAGAGAATTAAGCAGGTGCAAACACTTTCTCTGACCAAATGAATGACAGTGGTGGGTGTGGCCTACCTTATATAAAGAGATGCAGTAGCGGCCGATTTTGCCTTGTACAGGCACATTATTTCTGCATGTCCTTGTCTGTGGTGTGTTTTGATGTGGGCTGTAAATGTTTTGCATGTTCTTCCTTCTAAGGTGTGTTTGTGTGTTATTGTACAATGATTGCGTTTATTATCTTTGCATTGTAATCCTAACACATGTCCATTGCTCTGCTCTTCCAAGTTTGCTTTATTTAGAATGAAATGCAGTTTTCAGACAAACATGGTGAGAAATGTATGTGTGGGGGATTTGGGGAGGTGGGAGGTGTTTTTATTTTGGCACGTATGTATTTTTATATTTCGATCTGCAGCTTTTGTGAATAAGCCAAAGTGATTAATATTAACCATTTGTTTCCTGCTGTAAACCTGTGAAAGCACAGTTCATTAGAAGTATAGTGACTAAATGGTTAGCACTTCACACCGGGCAGTACTAGGGTTGTTGGTTCAAATCCCAGCCACGGCACCTCCTGCCTGGAGTTTGCATGTTCTCCCTGTGCCTGTGTTTCCTCTGGGTAGTCCGGTTCCTCTCACACTCTAAAGACATGCTGGTAGGTTAATTGGATCCTGTCAAAACTGGCCCTAGTATATGTATGAATGTAAGTTAGGGCCCTTAGTACGCCCCTTGAGGGGTAGGGACTGATGTGAATTTACCACATCTATATGTAAAGCGCTGTGTAAATTGACAGCGCTATATAAGTATCTGAATTGTACTAGCAGCCCTAACACTGATTTTTGCTAGCTATTATAATATGCCCAAATCTTCCTTGTTAGAGCGCACATGTGAAAGTATGTCCAAAATAACAAACCAAAACAGTAACAAATTGGGCCCACAATTTAACAGTAATAAATACAGTAATAAATTGGGCCCACAATTTATGTTGACTTTGGGCCTTTTACTGGCAAAATATACATTAGCCTATGTCATATACACAGTATAGCTGCAAGCATACATTCACCAATGCCAAATCTACAATAGAACTGCAAACATATATTTGCGAATGTCATATACACAATGGAGCCACATGTAAAATTCCTATGGTGCACAAATAAACACCAAGACGGCTGTTGGAGGAGGCGCTAGAGCAGCAGTCATAACGAAAATACCTCATGATGTTGGCGGGAAGGATGTTTGCACACACCCGCAAGTGGAAGTGGGGAGTGTGAGTGGATGGGAGTGTAGTTAGGATAGTTTAGTGGTAATTTGCAAGTCTATTTTTTAGTTTTGTGAATTGTTCTTTTGTGGAATTCAGACCACATTTGGACATGGCGAGATCGCTGTTCTCCACCGAGGAGCTGATCCTCATTTGCTGGGGAAACATTACTAATAATTGTTTGTATTTTCGGTTGAAAACATGTCCAATTCCTAGATCCATTGAGGTACATAGCAGAGGTTCAAGGTTCTTCCTAACTATACAGGTGGCACAGACACAAGCATACACCCAGGGCCACTGTTAGATATCATGGGGCCCCGTACAGCATACCTGACAGCCCCCCACCGCCAGAGAAAATATCCAAATTATATTTATGGTAAAAATACACTAAAACCATTTATTAATGGACATCCCAACCATATTTCTGTGAAATCTAAATGATAAAAACTGTACTGTGTTCATAAATAAAGCTGTGTGTAACTGAGGTGTAATTGAGGTTTTGGGGCTCATGGGTGCTGTGGCCTATAGAGTGTGAATCAGTGGTTTGTTTTGTGGCTATCGCCGTTTGCAGGCAACCTATGTTACACTATGGAATTGCTGCAGGTCATAATATGACAAGCATATGGGTGCAGGTGTGCAGCCCTGAACACAGACAGTGAGCATTCAGGGCCACTTCCCCACACCTTCACACCTGTCAGATTAAAACCTGTGTTCATACAGCTGCTGTGTCCCCATAGTGTAACAGGTGGCTCTAGCCACAAAACAACCCCTCATACATGCTGTACAGGCAGAGGACCTGTGTGGGGCATTTTTTACTTTTTTTTCCTTAGCTCGTTCATTTCAATGGGCTGCCTAATGTGTGGGAACATGCAAAAATACTGCAGGCATATTATTTTAAAAGTGTGTTGCACCTAACCGCGCACATCTGCAAAGGGCATTGCATTTCTTTGCTGTGCTGAAAAATGTGTGTTCTTGCATGCGTTTCTGCACCACCAATGGTGTGAACAAGTCCTAGGGGCCAGTTCACACTATAGAAACAGTCTAGATGTGTTCCTGATGTGTTTTTGCATGCCCTTTTGGCATGTATGTTTAGTGTGTTCCAGTACATTTTTGGATGCGTTTTGGACACGTTGCATTGCATTTTTGTCCCTTCCAGTTAGTTTTTTTCTATTTTCTTTTTATTCAATTTAATTAGGGACAATGTGCATTTTAGTACATTAAAGGACGTTTCAATGTGTTCCAGTACAGTTCTGTGCAGAAACAATGCAGCGTGGTCAACTTTGTTTACAACACCTGCAATGCACTGAAAATGCAAGCGCTGATGTGAACTATGACATTGACAACCATATAACCTTCTTTCTGTGTTTGTGATGCCAAAAAAGCAACCGAAACACATGTAGTGTGAACTGGTCCTAAAGATTATTAGAGGTTAAGGGAACGGGACTGACCAGGGATTGTGAATTCAATCAGAATAGTGGTGATATACAATCAGCAATTGTATAATAATGTGAGATCTGAGCTGTAGCTGATAGAAAATGAGACACATTCACTTGATCAGTAAATAGTTAAAAAGAGTGGGGCGGTGATCCATAGATTTGCATATGGGACAGGTGATGATGGGGTGGGGGTCAAGTTGTATAAGGAGACAGATTTAAAAGAAGAGAAAAGTTACAATGAAATATACACAGCATGAAACTTGCACATTTCCTAATTGGCAGAAGAACAGGATGCAGGTAACATTCATCCACTTTATAGTCATTAGGCAAAAATCATAATTGATTGACCAATATTCCTGGCACTGACACAACCCAGAAAATTGATGTCCATTTTTTAATGTTCATAAATGTCAAGGAGCTTATAATCTAAGGGCAGAAACTCAGCCATGTAACTACAGTTGCAAGAAAAAGTATTTGAACCCCTTAGGATTACGTGGGGTTTTGCATGAATTGGGCATAAAATGTTCTCTGAACGTCATCTAAGTCACAACAATAGAAGAAAACACAGTCTGCTGAACATAATACTACACAAACATTAGATGTTGCCATGGTTTAATTGCACATAACATGTAAACCTTCACAATGCAGGGAGGAAAAAGTATGTGAGGCCCTAGCTTAATGATTCTCCCAGAGCTAATTGGAGCCAGGAGTGACCCAACCTTGACTCCAATCAGTGTAATGATATTGG